GCACACTCATGCTTGGTCGATAAACTGGGGGGAGCGGGACAGGAGGGACGGATCGCTGCTCGGGCATTGGTCAGCAGGTGGTGACCACTGGCACTGTGCATCACTTGCCTTCTCCCGGGTGTCATTTCTTTCTCTAACTCTTTTTAAAAAATATTTCTTCGCATCATCATTATCATTATTATTATATCATATTTTATTTTTCATTATTAAACTGTTCTTATCTCAATCCATGAGTTTTACTTTTTTTTTCCTGAGTCTCCTCCCCACCCCACTGGGAACAGGGAGGAGTCAAACTATGACACCATCCTCTCTGGCCCTGCATGGGACAATATTAGAAAGAAAACAGAAAGCAATAGAGCGTTGTGAGGTTTATGGACTTTTTAAAAATTCAGAAATCACATGTATATTTTGCTCCTCTATTTTCAACATTCTACAAACAAGTGAAGCTTGCTCTAGGCTTTTATCTAGTGTTTGGAAAAGCCACCTCAGAGCGAAATATTTGGTGACTATTTTAACATTGTAAAGAAGTAGCAGAAACAGAAAGATGAAATAATTGAGGCTATCGAAGTATAAAGTATATTGTGTGTTGGATAATCTTGTAGCATCTTCCACTGTCCATTGTCTTTATCTTCTTCATTGAAAATAAAAACAAAACGAGAGTTCTGCCAAACTCTATGATGTCAGTGTTATCTCAGAAATGACACATTAATATTGACTGAACATTTCCACAAATATTTTACTCCCTCAATAGTTTTTCAGTATTTCAATATTCTTCACTGTCTTATATGGTCTGGTGAACATGACATTAAATGGTACGGGAAAGAGATCATCATCTTGTGATATATCATGAAAGTCACTTTAATATGATGCCGACTAGAAGATCTTGGAAGCTTTTACATGGGTTTTAAGAAATGCAAGACGTTAATAGTAAAAGTTTGCAGTAACTTGCTTTAACTCATTAACAATCACCAGGTAGGGAGGAAAACAAAACCAATCTTAGTGACCCACAATACACAAAGAAATAATAATAATAATAAACATAATTAACATGGTTTAGACTGGTTTCTGCACTGAAAATCCTGTGGAAAAAACATCTTTAATGGATATTTTTATTAACAAGGCACACTCTGATAGTTACCATGCAAGCAAACAGGTATTATTTCTACCAGAGGATGGATTCCAATCCTGCAAATACTTACTTATTTATTTCCCTTCCCCATTCTGACTAGTCTTACTTGTCACTTAGAGAAGCATCACTTGGCCCAAGCATCTGCAGGATCAGAGTCTAGAACAGGCAAAATAAGTGAAAGGCAGAAACGGAATCCCTAGAGGCCTGCCCTCAGACCCCAAACACTCAGGCAATGGAAACTCCCCTAAACCCCAGCCTGTTTGCCTATCCTGAAAATCACAGATGCATCAGAGGATGCTGGAGGAGCACAGCTGGCTCTAAGGAATAGTTCTGCTGTACTGCAAATAACGGTGAAGATTTTAGTCCAACATCTAAGCTGCAGCAGAACCCATTTAACCCCAGAGAGGCGCTGACTGACAGGCAGAGTTGAAGCAGCAGGATAGCTCTTCTCATTTAACGCCGACTCTCAAAAGGCCACAAAACGCTAATCCATTCATTCACAAGGACGTGCATAGAGAGAGAAAGCAACTGTTCCCTGTGAGGATTCATGAAGTCAGCTGCCTAAGACACCGTCTTCTGGTCAGAGTAACTTGGCCCATAGCCTACGCTCATTATATAAAGTCCTTTTAATGGACACAGGTTAGAGTCCCTTTTCAAAACTAGTCCCTTAGTACTGTAGTCTACATTGAGACTTCTTAAAATTAAATGAATGAGACTTGTTTTCCTCATGAAGATTGCCTTGGTGTTAAATTTCATAAAATACCTTTAGAAAGATTTTTCTTCCTGGAAACTAATGAGTCTCTATGATAACAAATCCTTAACAAGCTAAAAGTCAAATAAAGTTCACATTTTCCCCTGGCATGAAAGTATAGTGAGAAGACATACAGTGCAAGAGGATGATGTGACAGAACATCTACGTTTCCATTTGCCCTGGAAGCCCGTGTTTCAGTAGCTGTGGCTGCTTCAAAGGGCCTCCTAGTGATCACAGGCAAGGGGAAGGAAGTCTTTGACAAAGGAATCCTGACAACTCATGTGGAGCTATCTTCCAAACTACTGCACTTGGCTATGTGTCCAAGCTCTCAAACCCAGTGAAACAAACGGGACGCTATTCCATGAAGGGAAAAGCACCTTATGAAGTTCACCTCTGAGAGGCTGAAGCAAAGAGGAAGCATTACTGCACGAGACACGAGGCCTACGTTCAACCTTATTAGTGCTTTTTTTGGTTTTATACTAAATCTCTAAAAATGGAAGACAGATGGTCGTTCTATCATTAAAAGATGCATCATTATCAGACAGCTATAGTCAATCTGCTGTTAGAAAGCATCAAAGAGCACCAAGTACAAGATTTTTCTCCCACAGTCAGCAGTTTCTCATACGGTAGAGGAAACCTGTGCTCTCTGGAGGGTTCACCGTTTTTTATCTCTCAGCAAGACGAGACCACTAGGATCCTGGAATATGACCCTCATAACTCCTGCATGGTCATCAAGACCTTCTGATAGATTCTGTGCTGTCAGCCCAAGAAATTCCTTATGTGAAATCTGAAAGAGGTAATTCTTCCTGGCATGACATATAAAATACACATGGTACTAGACTGCTGGCACAGAACTAGGTTCCTCCTCACCACATGATCCTGTTAAACTCCAATCCCAGTGCAGGGGAAAGAAACTAGCAATGCATTCCTGAGCAGACGGAATTCTTTTTCTTGGAAACACATCTATTTGCCAAACATATAATTTTTCAGAGTTGGCTTTCTGTGTGGGGGCAGAAAAAATAGACTGTATACTGGAACTGCAAGTCATCTACAAATGCTGTAGCTGGCAAGACTGAAGACTCTAGTTACTCATGGGAGGTTAGGAGTTTTCCTCCAAGTTTCAAAGGAGCTGATGGTGCCAAAAAATGCATGCTTTTCCCTTGCAAGGCTGATCGTACTCAGTGTTCAAATAATATTCACCCTCAGAAGAACTCAAAACCCTTTGAGATTGAAAAAATGAAAAATGAGAGAACAGAAGCCATGAAGATGATGACACAAAGCTCAGGGAAGTTGAGCAACTAGAACTAAATCAGAACGAGATAAAGTTGGGTGTGTTGAAAATAGAGACTGTGCAGCTTTCTTTGTCCTGCAGCTGGTTAACCCACTTCATTATTCAGGACTATTCTTGGACCCTTCATCAATGCTTCATTCCCACATAACGTTATTATCATGTGTTCGATCGTCTCTGGATGACACAGAGAGCTATGCTACTCTCACAGACAACCACCCGTATTCATTTACTCACGCTTTGTCACCTCTTGGTTGGGTTACAGCAGTAAGGACATGAGGGCACAAAGCTCTTGCACATACAGGACATCCCCGTGCACTTCCTCACCACGGAAGGAACAGCGGACACTGCACCTCTCCTCCACCCCCTGTATCGCCTTCCCACAAAATGTCCAACCAAGCGCAAGGGGCTAAGCCGTAGTTTCATAGCCTTAACCAAGGGCATCTTTTGCAAACACACACAAAAACTTCTACCAAGAAAAGTTCTGTTCAACACATACTCATGTCTCATGTTACAGAATGTTTACATTAAAGGATAAAGTATGCTGCAGTCCAAAATTGGACAGTGGTCTGCAGGAGGTTTAGAAGCAACCCTTTCTCTCTATACCCTCAGGCATTATCACAAACTAACTACATCAACAGCAAGGGTCATTTTTTTAACCTTCACTTTTTAAATTTATAGGCAGAGAAATAGCATCATCATCATAAACCCCAATAATAATAATAATAATACAAAATAAAAGCCATAACCATGCAGAGACCTACCAAACAAGCCTTTCTACTTCATACTGCTCTTACGTGGCAGGAGAGATTAGAAAAGTAACTGAGCACCAGTGATAAATATATCTGTTTCACCTAACGCCGGACGGAACACTCATACTACAGCGATGAGCAGTCACAAACTCACTCAAGGCATAGCAGAACAGTACTTCAAAAGGAAGGGAAAAACAGGAGGAGGTGTTAAGAACTAAAAAAACAAGTTAAAAGTAGGACTGTAGCCTGAAAAAGAAAAAGCACAAACATTTCTGGCTGGTCAAGGCACAAAACCTAGAAATATCACTTAAACATATAGGAATTTAATGCATCTCCTCTCTTGCTAGTACTCTATCAGATGCTGAAAATGAACTCTATTGCTGATGCAATATGATTGTCTTAATACAATTTGCTGCACAATTTCTGTATAACCAAAGTGTTTCATCTCCTGCATAGCATTCATTCGCTTTTCAGTACTCTGATCTTACTCCAGGTAGTGGCACATAAGCTTCCTTGAAAGACAATACCAATTAAAAGCAATTTTCTTTATCAGATAGGTCGAACATAGAAAGGAGGAATTTGGTGATCAAAACCAGCCCCAAAAGTGACCTTTCTGGACAGGGCCACTTTAGTGCGGCGGGGTAGGGGAAGCAAAAGATCCTTCTCTCACTCCATAAGGAACAGGCTGTAGTTTTTGGAATCTGTAAAACCCGTGCCTTTCATAAACACTACATTCAGTCCCGATTTATGGTCTTCAGAATTCAGATTTGCAAAACCAGGTCTCTAACCTGCAAAATCTACGTCATGGTAAGGAAACAGCGCTCTCTCTCTTCTCCCTTGCATTTGTTCGTATCTTCAAATGTTTCATTTGACTATAAATCTGCTCAGAGGCAGGCTGGGCTAAATCTTCAGATTCAGTAAATGCTCACAGCTCCACTGATGTCCATGAAGCTCCAGGAACCATCAGCTGAGTTTCTGGTCTGCTCACTGCACTGTATCCCATCAGTAGTTGTAACACTTTTCCCCCGCTAAGTGAGCCAATGGTAGACAAGAAGATCTGCGCTAAGCAGCAGTACTTACTGCAGTTCTCTGCCTTTTTATTTCGATGAATCACTGTCTTTTGACTGGGTGTGCTGAACAGGCTGGTCCAGTTGACAGTGTGGTAGTAGCACAAATTGCTGTTGTCTGTTATGTAGATGTTGCCAGCACTGATTTGCTTCAAGGACTGGAACTGCAGAGAGGTAATGCCTTGTTGCTTGAGTATGAGTAAGGAAAGGCCACTGTGATGAAAACAGAAATAGGAGAGAACAGGAATTAGCCCCAGAAGGTGGAACTTACTAGAGCTGGTTGCAAATTTCTCACTGGAATTAGGTCCTCATGTCAAGTTGATTTTCTGGCAAAACTGAAGGTTTGTCAGAAAACTTCTATTTTGGGGTGACACAAGTATTTTATCATAGAATCACAAAATGGCTTGAGTTGGAAGGGACCTTAGAACATCTAGTTCTAAACCCCCTGCCATGAGCAGGGACACCTCCCACTAGACCAGGTTGCTCAAAGCCCCATCCAGCCTGGCCTTGAACACTTCCAGAGTTCTCTGGGCAACCTGTTCCAGTGCCTTGCCAGCCAACATCCAGGTCTGTTGCCTAGAAAATCATGAGTCCTGTAAGAATTGTGGTAACACGAAATGTAAAGCTCACAGCACCAGGCTAAGTGGGCCAGCAGAATTCAACTAGTTCCATTTCTTCCGTTATCATATTTTTGAGATAAAGTACTGCTGAGAAAACAGAATGAAATCCAGATTTTTTTCTGACCAAATTAATACTATGATAGTTTATACACTAAGGAGAAACTGACAAAGTCATGCAAAATGTATTAACATCTTCTGTCAGGCATCAAATTAATGTCATTTATAGTAATACAGGAAGAAATTGTTATTTTCAAGGAAATTTTTCCAGCCCACTTTCTACATTTCATTTTTCTTTTGTTGTAATATGTGGTTATCGCTTTTCTTCATCAAAGGAACAGTAAATGATTGTCTGTGCAACACAGAAATGACTGCACATATTTTATGACTAAAGATTAATGAAAATAATATCCAGTCTCTGGGCATCCTTTAAGTTTCTGTATTTTAATGATTATAATTGTTTTCCAGGTGTTCCAAATAAAAATTGCTGCTTCTAAGCAGAGTGCTGGGCTGTAATGCAATCTCAAGGTTTAGCTGCTATTCTTATTCTGCTGGGGTTGCTGTTTAAGATGCCAGCAAAACCCCATGACTGATTTACTACATTTACAGACTGGGGAGCCAGGGGTTGCTGCTCATATGTATCACTGAGGTGTCTCTTTGTGCTTCCTCCATTATTTCTCACCACATTTTCTTCTCTTCAAACTAGTTCCTCCATAGCAGTTTCCATATGGAAACATCTGGTAAAAAAGGCACGACAGAGTTAAGGTACACCCCATCGGCAAGGCACTTCAGCGATTTCAGCGCTCTTCCACGGATTTTATCCCTCACCACTTCTAAAGGCCACACTGTTCTGTGGGTACATGAGCACGCACTGCCAATCACAACCACATGAACTTCCTAATAATGGGTCTAGGTTCTACTATTAATATTTTTCAAGTTATGTTTTGCATTCACAAGGCATGTTAAATCATAAAACGTTCTTTCTGGACAAAGAGTTTATAGCTACAGTTACAATAATTATGTTCCAAAGGTTATTACCTACTATAAACAGATTAGCAAAGACACTGCTAATGAATACCTTGGTAACAGAGAGAAACGTATCAATTTATGTGCCCTTCCCAAAGGATGCTGCTTTCTGTGCTACTGAACAAAGAATCATTGAATACTAATAAAAAACGATTCCATCAAGAGAGCAAGTAAGTACCTTACCTATAGAGAGCTCTTCCACCAATAGTAACCAAGTTAGAAAACACCCTGAAATCGGTCATATTCTCAGGCCATGACTGTATGTTCAAATACCCTGCAGGAGAAAAAGGCAAGCACAGGAATGC